TCCTTGGGCCTGCACTGTTCAATATCTTCATCAGTGATTTGGATGAGGGGGTGCAAAGCACCCTGTTCAAGTTTGCTGATGACACTAACATGTGGGGGGATGTGGGCGGGATTCAGGCATGGCTTGCTCCAGGCAAAAGGGGGCAAGCAGCAGCAGGGCATGGCCCCCGCTCCCAGGGCTGCCATGCCGGCTTGCTCCAGGTGGCAGCAGGGCAGAGCCCCCAGTCCCAGCGCTGATGCAGGCATGGAAGCACTGGGAGTGGGGGCTATGCCCTGCTGCTGCCTGGAGCAAGCCACGCTTGCATCGTGCTCCCCGCCACACCGGCTGGGCAAATGGCAGCAGGGCAGAGCCCCTGCAGGTCCCCCTGCCAGGGCAGAGACAGGCACAGCCAGAGGAATCATGGAAGAAACCCCCATGACTGCACTGCCCGGCACAAGCTGCCCAGCACTTAAGAAAAAAAGAAAAAAAGCCCACATTCACTGGCTGCAGGAGTGGCGACTGGGGCCCTTGGACACTTGTAGTAGAAGCCCCCCATGCAGCACAGGGCAGTGGGGGACAGCGGGGATCAACCCTGCCCTCCCCACCCTGCACTGCACCCACACAGCACCTGCCCCATGGCGCAGGTGCAGCATGGCTCGGCAGGGCACCTGGGAGCTGGGACAGCTCAACCTGTCAGCCTCCCAGTTGCATTCCCCAGCTCTTCCCGGGGTTGCGTGGGCCCCCAGATCTGCATGCAGCAATTCAGCAGGCTGCTGCCACCAGCTGTGGAAATAGCTCAGAGTTGCTGCCATCCCCAGCTGACAATGGCAGCCTGCTGTCATCCTGCAACATCCAGGGGCCTGCACCCCCCAAGGAAGAGCTGGGGGAAGCAATCAGAGAGATTGGTGAAAGATCAAGGAGCTGGGGTATCAAACTGGGAACTGGGGGAAAATGTTCAGGGACCTGAACATTCCCCCAGCTCCCCCTTTGATTCCCCAGCCCCCAGTTCAATTTGCCTGGAAGCTGGGGACGCTCCATGTATCAGCTGAATCCCAGCAGTGCTCAGCCCCAGCAACCCCAGGCTAGCTCCTACACAGTGCGCGGAGCCGCACTGGACCCGCACCATGGGACAGCTGCCATATGGATGCCAGGTTGGAGGGGGGAGCCCCACTGCCCTGCTGCACAGGGGGGATCTGCCACAAGTGCCCAGAGGCCCCAGTCGCCAATCCAAATCACTGAATATCTCCAAATTAGCACCAGATTGATTCAGGACAGTGATCTGAATCTGAATTGAATCACTGTCCTCCGAATCAGAATCGAATACTTCCATACTTGCACAGGCTTCCAGAGCATCAAGACAGCAACTACAGCCAAAAAATTCCTCAGGAAAATTCAAGACTTGGTTCTCCTGAGCCCCAAGAGACATAGGTTACTACTTTCACCCTAACAATGGAGGAGGGTAAACAAGAGGTCAACTGTCCAATTTCAGTACACCGAACTAAGTTTTGCTTACTTTAAAGGAGAAAAGACAAACTCACCTTTATAGCTTTTTGCCTATCATTTTCATGTTCCAGATTGTTATAACAATTTGTACAGTTGCAGTTATTGCAGAATTCACCATTTGCAAAACAATCACAATACCTGAAATAAGAAATCCAGAAAGTATTTAAAAACATGGCCAAAGATATCACACTAGCATTATTCTGCCAGCAGTAGCAGCAGAAAACACTTGTATTCTAGTAGCACCATTACCCAATTAACCTTGACCAATCACCAGGGTTTCACAGACTTTGTGAAAGTGAGTCTATAGAAGGGATTTGAAGGATAAAATACTGGCATGTGAATCACGTCTTGTGTGTGACACTGTGAGAATGAAGAACGAAAGTTGCCTCTGTGAGAAGCAAGTTGTGTAGCTGAGTTATTTTTTTTATTACTCCCATTACTGTAATGTTTGAGCATCTCACCATCTTTATTTTACCTCCCAACTTTGTGAAGTAGAGAAGTACTAATTTCCCCCCCATCCTTAAAATGGAAATCTGGACAAAGAAAGACTAAGGAATAGGCTTTTTAAAACATGCAGCTAGGTACTCAGACACTATTTATGCTTGCCATTTCCAGCTGAACTCAAAAAGTATTAGGAACCCAACCTGTTTAGGTGCTTCTGAAAATCCCACTAGATACTTATCTGTGTTTTTAGGAGCCTAAATACTGTTGAATAATTGGCTTAGTGACTTGCCCTGGGTCATATGGGAAGTCTGTCATATGGGCAGAACGGGGAATGCCTCTGCAGGTCCAAAGTAGTACCTTATCCACTAGATTACTGTGAACTAATCCAATTGCTTCTAATTAGTTTTAGTATGCTGTATGAGCTGATGGATTGTTTAGGCCAGGCATGCTCAATCCCCAGCCCATGGGCCAGATCCAGCCTATGAGGTTCCCCACAGGTCCAGACATTTGGCAGAAGGCAAGCTGGCTGCCAAATTTCCAGACCCATGAGGTGCCCCAGGCCATGCACACTGCATGGGGCACCAGATCCTGGTGCTCAGGGCCACGTGGGGGCAGCACTGGGCCCCAGCACCACAATCCCAATGCACAGGGGTAGGGGGAGCTGGTACATGGCCCCTTGGGACCCAATCCCAGAGTGTGGAGGGTTGGAGAGGACAGTACTGAGCCCTCAGGACCCAATCCCAAAACATGGGGCAAAGAGAGGGTGGTGATGGGCCCTAGAGCCCAATCTGGCCTATGGACTAGCGTCATGCCACTCATCTGGCGTGCAGGACCAGAAGGTTTAGGTAGACATCTTGAGCAGCACGTAATACTTGTGTTTTTCTATTACTTTAATAAAAGAGCAGTCCTCTGTTTTAATAATAATAGCTTTGTGACCAACTCTACCGATGGTATCAGGCAAGTCGTTTAGCTTCTCTGTAACTCTATTTTTCAGCTATAACTTGCCCACCTCATTAGTAAAATTTGTCAAAATCACCCTGTTGCAAGCAGGGACAAGTACTACTGGTACAAATGGCTGCTTCACTAGTGCAAGACAACAATTCACAGTGCACCAGTGCTTGGCCATTGACAGCTATAACTGAAGCAAATTAAGAGGTGAACGGGGCCCAAGTTAATTTCTGTACAGTACACTGAAGATGCACTGTGCTAAATTTAAAAAAAAAAAAGTCATCATTATTTTCTCCCCTTTAGAATTCAGTAGCTATTTTGGAAACAACAAAACCCTAATTTTCCAGGCATCTAGGCACACATTTGGTGCTGAATGTTACGAAATATCTAATTGGGAACTAAATATCTTCTAGTGCAGTGAAGAAATTCTAAGAAAGGAATGAGTGTGCACATCAATATTATGAATATGACATCATTTTTAATGCAGTATGTCAAGATGACAAAGAAGGGACTGGTATCTTAACTGGAGCTCAAGTTTCTATCTTATTGCCTCCTCTGTCAATAGCACACCACTTTGGCCCTCCCTACATGTGCAGGTGAAGGCTCAATGAGCTCTAATGTGCAATTCACACAATTGCACCTCCTGCCATGCCACACGTGCATGACAGGAGGCGTGATTGTGGGATTGCACATTAGATCCCATTACACCTTACTTTTGATGCAAGGGAAGACCGATTCCAGGCTCCCCTGCACTGGCAAGAACCAGGCTCCTGCAATTGGCTCCCAGTTGGGGGGCTCCTAACTGCGAGGGAATGCCATGTACCTCTGGGACTGGAGGGTCACTGCTGCAGCCATCTCCCTGCCCTGGGGATGTGAGAAGCCCCCAAGCTCTGGGAATCATAGCAAATTAAAGCTCAATAACAACCAGCTATAAAGTCAGTACGTATTTTTGAGGTCTAACTTGATTGGCTGGTTGGAGCTTTTTATTGTACAATAGCTATTTGGCATGTGTAGCTGGTCTCCAGGTAACTGCACAATTAACCAGTTACTTGTGCAATACCTGCAATGTGTAGAGGGGGCCTTTGATCTCTTCATCATCCAAGTTGTAAGAACACCCAGAATAAATGCTTCCTTGCGAGGTCTTTTACTTTCTATCTGTTGGAAAGTTAAGACATCACCCCACCTAAACATAACCACCTACTTATACAGACACTAACACAGACATTATATCAGACCCTAACCCACTGTATGGGAGAAACTTCATAATTACATTAGAAATTAAGCATTTTAAAGGCCTTGTCCATACTAGACTACTTTATTTAAAACCTCCCACTGCTGATACCACAGACAACTCCGCTAGTGGCAGTAGTGACGGGAACTGTAGTGGTGATCTTTGTCAGCACTGGCACTTCTGCATCATGTGGTTTAAATGCCAACATCCAGCCCAGCCCAACACACTCACCATCGCGACTTAAAAAGCAAGGTGGAAATTAAAAAAAACACTAGGGCAGTGTCAGCAAATTTCACAGACAATGCAACATTTCCACTTGATTGAGTTATGGATGAACTGACATCCTAAGTTGGAATCCTTTATATAAAGAGGCCTCACAGCCTGGTATTACTTTAAGATTTCTCTGTCATCTTTTGTGCATGTGCACACACACTACATAGGTATATAAAATGCTGAAGATTTTATCAGAGTATTTCAGTTATACTCACAGTTTCAAACACAGTGACTTTGTACAATTGCATGGCTTTCTGGGACGATTTGCAGATTCAGATGGAATTATTCTGGAAAAGAACCGTCAAATTACAAGCTTCTTTTTCTGTATTTTAAGTTCAAGTTAGATGCCATTAATGGAACAGTAACTAAGTGAAATCCTATAAGCCAAGCTATATTTTTCCCCTCTAATATGCTTTCATAATATCTGTCAAAGACTAAGAAACACAGCTATTATGGGAAGGGTACCCTGTGAATCAAGAAAGAAAGGGGCTATTTGCCAAAGATCTGGCTGGACACTGGAATAGAATGGGAACTGAAAGCAAAAAACAACAGCCTGGGAGCAGAAGAGTTGACCATCCTGCATCTGTTATGTTGCATAAAGACCTCTCAGTAGGGACTATATAGGGAATGGAAAGGGCTTCATGATACCACTGTTGTGCATCTGAACAAGCCCCACAGAGTAGAGAGATAAATGCAAACAGTGCCTCCCTCCAAAACGTATTATAGCAAAAATTAAGAAAGAAACAACAAAAAACAGTTCTAGGGAGACCAACAAGAATCTGAGCAAGGAGCAAGCAGGGCAGAAACTGCATCATGTAGTTTAAAGAACCCCTTCTTTGACAGAGGCCAGCTTTACCTATCCCAGAAACCTAGGAGTTCTTCTTATAGTAATTTGATCTGCAAGCTGCACCATAACCATATTTAGTGCCCCCTTCATATAACATATCTCCAGAAGATTAAAAGAACATATTATAGGAATGTTTTCTATACGAATTTGGGATTAGCTGAGTTAAATAGTCCCTTATCAGTAATAACCAATACATTTAAATGCAAGCCTTTCAGGAAAGGAAAAGCTCAACAGGACTGGGCACGGTTCTCGCTCTACCTGGGAGGAGTGGTTGTGGGGAGCAATGTTGTTTTTAAACATGTCCACCTTCACTAATGCATTACCTTGAAAACTAAGCCAATGTTTTCAAGGGCAGAAGGCTGGACAGGTCAGTACCTTAACAAAATAACTCAGTTATAAGCTTCCATAGGTAAACATCAGATGCTATGGACTAGGTATAGACATCTACATATTTACCTGGATTTTGGCAAGTTCTAAGTAACTAACTGTTTTACCAGATTTAAATGCACCAAGAGGAATCTGAGAGTCGGGCTCCTAGGTACTACTAAAATGCAAATATTAAATAATAATGGGCCAGTTCTCTGCTCAAAATACCCACTATAGGATATTGCAACAAAAAAAAGAAAAGGTTTAAGTCAAAGAAAGGTGTTCCTTATTCCAAAAGACACAGCAACAGTAGGCTACCCACCTGCTTTGCTGTCCCCCCCACTACCCCCATCAGTAACTCTGGAAACGAGGATTAGTCTGTCTCACGTAAATGTACCAAAACCATAACAACATTTTGAGCAAGACCGCAGCAAGTTTTTGTTTGTTTGTTTTAAGCCAGTTCAAGTCTCTTCTACACACTCACCCATTGAATGGCAGCCTTGCTTGAGTCTGGATACTAGATGT